TTTATCACAAAAAAAGAAAAAATGAAAAAAGTAGGAGTCATAGTAGACTACAGAAAGAATTAAGTGAATCATCCAAGTATAGAGAGGAAATGAGTTTTAATTATGATTTGGCCAATCTGTAGAAATCAACAGTTTTACCAAATTGTTTTTACAATACTGTTTGTCAACAGTTTTACCAAATTCTCTTTACAATACATCACTACTGCACTCAAGAGTTTGAGCAATCTACATTCACATTTTAGTATTTGGTACTACCGTACACTGGCTTTGATTGTCCTTTTCAAATTCTTTGAAAAAGTCTAAAATGATCTCTCCAAAAGCCTTGGAAATTTTGCTTCAGGCCACTCTTCCTGACCAGAAAAAGTATGTTTTGAGTCACAAGTTTGCATAATTCCATCTGGATAATACAGGACAATTCCTAAAAATGAAGACCCACCTCTCGTTCTTAATTACATTGTCATAAGTAGGTTCAATGTTTACCATTATTTGTGAATGTGACAAAGCCATGTAACTTACGCTTCTACTGGTATAAATATTGCCTAAGTAACCTTTTATCCATTTATTTAATTCAGCAATCATATAAATCATGAGAAATCTCCAAAACCCATCATAAATGTCAATGTTATATGTTTATTTTTTAATCAAGTACTTTTTAAGCCTCAAAATGTCCATAATGAACAGAGTAAGACAACAGGCATAAAATGAGAATATAAAACCCACATCCGCAGAAAGACAAGCAGCACTTTAGTCCACTGAGGTGACTGAAGATGAGTGAAGTGCCATTCTAAACATCAACTCCTTTTTGTCCTTTAAAAACAGACAGTTCAACTGGTTTTTAAAATTTTCGCTTGTAAACAACAGGAATCAAAATGGACAATGAGATTAAATCTAAATACTACACAGTATACTTTAAAAACACTAGATAAAACACTGTATTAAAGACACATAAATCCGGGTTCACTTTGGTCTCTTGTATGGTTAGAAGTGTAAATACCAAAAGAAGCAACATATACTATTGAAGCCAGCTTGGTGGTAGGTGCCAGTGGCGGATAGATGGGATTAAAGAGGTAGTTAACACCATCATTATCAAGCTGGGAACTTTCACAAATGTTAAGCCACAGATGTATTAAATATCATAATACTTTCTCACAGTACAGTACTTTACCATAACTTTGCAGCCTCGTTCCAAACATAAAATTTAACAATGAATCATAGGTCAGCATCTCACTCTAGCAGAATAACTAGGACACAGATCACACAACCACGTCTTAGGGAGGCTGCTGGCAATTATGTCAGACAAAATGTGATGCTTTCAACAAATTGTTCTTTTCTAAAACAAACCTCATTGAGACATCTGGAAAATTAAAGTCAGTGCAGCTGCATATTTTCCCAAATTTTACAACCAAAGAGGAAATATGCATATATATTTTATGATAAACATTTCTTAGGGAAAACAGATAAATTAATTTAAATTAACGTTAAGACTTAATGAGATTTCCCATGTTCTGTATAATTCATCTTAAAGTGAATGTTACAAAGTTTATTAACACTTATGGGCTTCTATTCACAAACTAAATACAACCAGCAGTAACTTGGGGCTGCACTGGTGCAAAATAAAACTGAGCCAGAATACAAAAGAATACTGGCACTCAAAATTTCTTATATTTGGAGGTGGACTGATGCTAATAATAAGATATTCCTTGATCTTTTTCTTCACATTGCACACTAAATTTCCAAGTTGTGAGCAGGTAAAAACCATTCTAAATATTCAACTGTAAAAATATATCCAAAGACTAAAAATCCAAGTATAAAAATTTTACCATTATAATCTGCCTGTGGCAAATGAATAGCTTATAGGGCCCAGAGACTGGCAGTGCATCTTTCTTAGGAATCACATTTGTGTTGACATGAGGGTAAGTTCAAGAGGCAGCTTAATTCATAGGCCTACTGCTACTAAATTCATTAGTAAATCCTGACCCTTTTCCCCTCAGTAGCTAGCAATGGCATTGCCATTTAAGTTCACACTTTGGCAAGCCAGTGCTAGTACCTGCCTGGGGCTACAATGCTCCAGTATGTTTTGGCTTCTGGGCAGTAGAGACATGAAAATGAAAGTTTTGCATATGTTACATACTACTTGCCCTGCACAAATACTGTACACTCATACACCAACCTCTCCTACTGCTACCATTTCCTGTCCCCCACTCTGGGCAAAGCAGCTATTTCCAAGATTGTTTCTGTCCTGGTTCACTTAAGCTGAAGAGTGCCCATAATTTTAAAAACTAAATACATGATTAGCTTTAAGGAAATGCTTGGAGACTTTGCTGATTAAAATGGGATTCTACATTATTCAAATGTGTTTGTCAGAAACATGCAGTTATGAATTGCTATCTATAACACAGATAAAAAGATTCTGTACCCGAGAATTATCAGCCATCTGTAAGGCTAGAGCAGCATAAAGGTGTGCTGTGTTATCAACAATGAGGTAGCCCTTTGCTGTAAACAGAAGAATATTTTACTCATGTAAATGAACAATAATAGTGATATTCACATCTGCAAGGAGTTAAGGAATTCTGTCTTATGGGATTTTTCACATGAAATAAAAACAGAACTGATATCTGATGTTCAGGATTTGATCTACATCAAATTCAGAGGTAGTTACTAACATCAAGTATATGTACTTTACATAAAGGTCTAAGTTATTTGGCTTGTTTTGAGTAAGCAGGACTGTAGACTAGTCTGTAAAGAAATAAAAAAAACATTATACGGAATGTTCCCTGAGCAAAGTTCTTGGTCCTGAGTATGTTACGTAATAGTGACAATATTTTCATATAAAAAATAAACCCCAACTTTTAGCCATAAGATAGATAGGTTTGGTATGTGCTCTTAGTAGTTCAGTCTAGTTAGATGCTGAAACAGATTTAAAATTGTACCCCTAAGATCCACAATTCTCAAAGGCTTCTTCTGTCTTTTCTATTTTCATTTTATATCATGATCTCAGCTTTGAACTTTTTATATGTAAACAAGGAATGCCCAATTTCAAGTCCATAATTTCCTATTTCTATAAAATAAAGGAACTTTGGTTTGAATTTTCAAAGTGACTTGTCATATTCTGCATTTTTACTGTTGGTTAACATACTGTTGCTTATTATACCTGCTAAAAATTAAGCAATGCCACTTTGATTTGTCTACATAATTTAAATAAGCTTGAAATCCTCACATAAGGCAAGGAAATATTTCTCTACAGCTATATCACATTCAATATCGTCAAAGGTAGGCCTCATGGCACACTGATATTTCAGTATCCACCATGGAGATTCGCATGAACAGTGCTGTAAAATCCAAGCTGAGTTGTAAAGGACTGGCAGGCCAGCCTGAGGCATGCTATTCTTCTGATGGCTTGCTGAACAGCAGCAACTATACCAGCATCCACGACAGGACAACAGAAAAGGGAGCAGAACTGTTCAGTAGAGTATGTTTCACTTGAGTCAAGCTGTTTTCTTTCTGATTATCTGAGCTTACATTAACAGGTGCATAAAAAACTATATTTATTGCTAATAGTAAGTGTTCTAATTAATTGGTACTTTTTGGACAAAATTTGCCTATGATATCTAAAAACAGATGGTTCCAAATTATTATTTATTTTTTTCATGACTGAAACCTAAAGAGACCCGTACTGTTACTGGTCCCTAGCCAGTTTGCTACTATGATGAAAATCAACCTGAGAAGATTCTCTATTCCTAGCATCTGATGTTCATCCATTATATAGGTTACTTCAGCTTAAGTACTGAAGGTAACATTCATCAGATCAATGTTACTGTATAAGATACTTCTAGTTACATGGTGGGAGAGGTTTTTAGTACCTCTACTCAGGCCTGTCACTCTAGTTGACTGCCACCAAATACTACTTTTAAGTATCATTCACAGGTCAAACCTACTGGGCAATTATGAGCATCCACTTAATTTTTATTCTCAATCCCAGTATTATATTCATTTCCGTGCTGCTTTTGTTTTAGAAACAAATTGGAGAACTCTCCAGAGGAGAATAAAAATAGCCACCAAAAATATAGACCATATGATTGGAGTTTACTTTTAAGGTCTTCAGTAGTAAATAAGGAGGGCTCCCTGCACTAAGTGATGCCTAGAAGACTGACTTCATTTAGGGAAGCAGCTGATGCCACAACCCCTTATAAATCTCAGAACATGTGGAAGATTATAATGAGCTGGTATCCAAATACCACTGAAAATAACCAATTTACTACATTTATACATTGCCCTCCCCTTCATTTCTCTTATTAGGCATGTAATTTACAATCAAAACATGGAATTAAAAACATTGAAATCTCGGCACAGAAATTACACATTCATTGTCTTTTCTAGAGCTATGTATCCCAGAATCAAAAAAGCTACAGTGGAGGCATTTGCAGTTAAGGTACTACCTTCAAATGGGGGAGGAAAAAACCCCACTCCATAGATAGCAAGAAAAAGGCAATCCTAAACTTGGTAGAAACTGGCTGTCTTAAAAAACCTGTAGTACCATATGACTGGCAGCTCTGAGATTTGAAGTTTCCTTTGGTTCACACAAAAGGTAACAGTCATGTTTTCATTTTTATGAAATGAACTATAAATGTAATATTAAAAAGGTGACATTTAAAGAAAAACTCGGGATTATTTTTTAACCATCTTAAATATTTCACATGGATTTTCAGTGTCCTGGAGATGTTCGATTATGTGCGAGAGGGTGTGTGCTTATCCACATACACACACATAGATAAAGACAAACCCTCTTTCTATATGTCTATATTCCTAGTAAAATCCTCATACACATGCACACAGATTCAGGCTCTCACTCTCTCACACGTGCACATTATCTCCTCTGAATTACATGAAACATGACAACTTGCTCAAATGTAATTTGCTTAGAGTGATTTGTCTGTTTAAGAAATCCACAGTTCCTCAGCAGTAGTTAAAAGTCCCAGGTCAGCTGCTATCTGTGAAATACCGTTTTCCTGTACTTGCATGAGGTAGAATTCCCAACCAGGTAGGGAAAACAATACATTAATAAGAACTATGTCTTTTTTCTTTTTTGAACAGAAGGCCCCTTTTTGTTTTGTTCTTCTGGAGCTGCAGATGCCTTCGTGGAGGAAACTTCTTGAGGTGACCTGCCTGACCATTCTGAGACCTCTGACCTGGCCTCCTGAGGAAGCAGTGGTGAAGTGCAGCCATGTCCCCCTCCCACGTCTCTGGGGGAGGCTGAAGTGCACGGCTGGGATTCTGCTTCCTGTCTTCCCTGAGAACCGGCAGGCAGCTGTGCAACAGTTTTATGTGGGCAGTTTGCTACCATGTGCATGATACTCTGACAGTAATGGCACTTCTTTGGCTGAGGAGGTAGACTACATTCCTTTGCATGATGATCAAGGCCACCACAGTTGTAGCATCTGCAAGTAAGAATGGGGACAACATCTTAGAAATAAGTAGCATGTGCCATAAAAATTTAAATTATTTAGTAATTATTATAAAGTATGTAAAATAATAAATGGTAAAATACATATAATTTAAATATTTACCAAAATACACAAACTGTCAAGGAGATTGGTTTAATATGGCTGAAATGTATGTAGTTATTTATTCTGATTGCTTCAAGAATCATAATAACCAAAATGTGCCAGCAACTTCAGTTGTGATGAACACAATAACCCGTGAAAACCAAGTGTAGTAGCAAAACACACGACTATTCAATTATTTCTCAGAAGAAATGATTTAGATTTGACAGATTTTAAGAGAATGGTTTATTCCACTAGAGGGCAGTCAACAATCAACAAAGCCAACCATTGGCTTTAAAATGAATCAACACATATACACAGCTGTTTGCCTGGTACGAAACAGCATTTCCCTTAGCTACTGGGAAAATTATAGGTCGAATTAAATTGTATGAATTGAACACTTTTTTGAGTGTTAATTATTTTGACTGTGGAAGCCAAATGAGCTGGCAGAATTTTTTCTTTGTATAAAATTAAGCAGTACAGTGAAATTTCATATATAAGATACCTGTTAGGAAGTCAAAATGATACCTGGGCAAATTACCAAGTAATTTTAGAACAATACTGAACCAGAAAAGTGCTATAAAATAAATGTTCTAAATACTTCTAAACACATACATCAGGTAAAGTTTGATACTAGTTTAACAAATGGAAAATATCATTGTCTTTTTCTTCCACAGAAATTCATTTTCTTTTATAATGAATTCTCCTAAATTGAAATATACATAAATCTATTATTAACTAACTCATGAATATGCACTGGTGATACAATATGGTTTTGCAGTAGATTTTTGAAAATTCTACTTAGTTTTTAAAAGCTGAGCATGAAAATTATTTGGAGGATGTATTTCCTCAATAGAATTTTCTTTCTATTAAAATTTTATATTGAAAACAAGAGGGGCCAGGGACATAGCTCAGTAGAATAAGCGCTTGCCTGGTAAGCGCAAAGGCCTGAGTTCACTCCCCAGTTCCGCCAAAACAAACAAACAAACAAACAAAAAACAAAAAACAAAAAAACAAAAAACCAAGAAAAGGCCATAAAGTAAAGAAACTAAGACAAATTTATATTTAGAATCTATTCCTAATTACTGAATATAGAATTTTCTGATTTCCAAAGGAAATATTTTAAAAGCTTTCTATTTTAAATTTACCCAATTCTAATAATGAAACCAGTTTTCATAATGAAATACAAATAGTAATAGATCATGGTGTTTAAAAAAATAGCAAAATATGTGGATCAATACTGAAAATTCACATCAGAATGACAATGAAAATTAATTACATCTGTGTAAGAGACTATCAAGCTGGGTAACTTATCCTGCCTCATATTTCAAAGACAATTTATTACTAATCTAATCAGCAATATATGCAGGACACTGAGTATTTTATTGCCTGGGGTCAATAATAAAAGGTGAGCATTCTGAATTGGCAAAATCTAGGGAAACAATGATCTGTTTTTTTCAGGTATCAATGTTGTTTTAGAGATTTTAGAATAGATTTATAACATGGGCTTTTATATTTTTCAATTATGAACAGAAATTTCTCTTTTCTTTTTTTGTATTTTAGGAAAGGGTCTACAGGGTGCTCAGGGTCTCACTACTAGATTGGACTCCTAGTGATCCTCCTGTTTACAGCCTCCTAAGAGCTGGGATTACAGGCGCGCGCCAGCACGCCCAGTCTCAATTGCTGTCTCAGGGTGCCCCAGGGGCGGGCTGGCGCAGCAGGCCCCAGGATCACCTCCCACCCCCATGCCTGCTTGCAGACGCTTTAATCCACAGAGCTATTTGTCCAGCCCTAGGAACTTATCTTAAATCGGATCTTATTTCTAAAATTTAAAATTTAAAAGGAAAAGAGAAACTGAATGCACTAATTATGTATTTCTCATACAACTGCATATCATAATGATGAGTTAAAGTGTTACACTGTAGATTCAATACTGTTTTAAACACGTTCTAAGAGATAGTATAAAACTAAGAATAAAATGTACTGATTAATGCCTGAACACTCAAAAAAGAAAAATACGTTATTTACAATGTTTTCCCGCACTGCTCTACAATGGGTAAGTGCATTCTTAAATCAAATTTACCCATTTGTAAAATTTCTTCTGAATTAAATTCACTTCCTGAGAATAACATCCAGTAAGCGCTCGTTTTTGTTTTTATTTTTTATACGTATTTGGTAAAGGAAAGAGCTAATTTTTGAAGAAAGAGAATAGTAATAGAACTGGCTTTCCTACAGACACAGCAATTTCAGTCAGTGTGGTATGCACTGTGTTATCTAATTCAGAGAACCATTCTGCCCACTCATTGGGCAAGGCACTAATTCAGAATTCCACTTTCACAAATGGGGGCTTCGATTACACTCTGTGCATTTACCATTAAGTGTGAGTTACAACACTGATTTTTAAGGACACCGTGTAATTTTGGTTTCCTTACTTTCTGATCTGCATAGTTAATTCACCCACTTGGCTTTTCAGTTGCTTGCTATCACTAGGCCAGACTGCTTTCTACACTGAAAAGACTTCCATTCAGTGTATATATGTTTAGTCTTAAAAAGGGAAGGAGCGATACTTACACTCTTCTGTTTAATCATTCAATGTTAATCATTCTGAGTGCAGATCACACCCTATTATGAAACCCCTCCTCCTTCCCAAGGGACTGACACCAAAATGGAAATATCCAGCTACCTTTCAACCCATGAGATTACAGCCAAATACTCCTATATATAAGCTATGCATGGTTTTAGTCCCCTTTGTTCTTTCTCCACAATTCTCCAAATCAGTGTTTTTATTAATTTGAATAAATTTTACTTTATGGTGTAAAATTGTAACATAAAAATGACTAGTGTTCCCACATATAGCAACATGCTTAAATAACCGTAAAGATACAGTGTCTCAAGCAAAAGGACTACAGATAGAAAGCTATAATCATATTTGTTATATATTCTATAGCCTCACATAAAAAATAAAATCTGCTTGGTTAATATAGGCAAGGCCCTGGGATCAAGCCACGGCATTGCCCAAAAAATTTTTAATAAATAAAATTGTCCATGTTGAGTATTTTATAAAACGTTGAGCTAATAAGTGCTTTTCACATATTAAACCTAAACACTGTTTAGTCTCAAAATGTATAGTTCTGCATAAAATTACTGCATAAGTAACTCTAATAAGCTAGAATATTATGAATTACTATTTATTTTTAAAGCTTTTAAATTACATTTTCATAAATAATCAAACTGGAGTCAACTTGTAAAAAGATTAAAATAAAATTGAAAAAGTAAATGAAAGAATGCCAACAATAGACAAAATGGAGGCATCTAAGATAGCCAAATAAATAAAAACAAGTATTTTAGGTCTTTAGAACTACACAATAATGCTTTTCCAAGATCAAGCATTTTCATTAATTAGTAAGTTAGTAAAAACATACTCAAATTTCTAAAATTTCATTTAAAAAAATGAAAACTGAATTAGGAATCAGAATTTAGATGGGCTTAAGTGAATACATAAATGGTCTCAGTGGTACGAACTATAATAGAAGGAATGATCTCAAATGTGAATGAGTAAAATATATGCAGACATTAAATGATATTCTAATGTCTTAAGTGAAAGATTTCACTAACTATATATTCTCCCTTGAGAACTGAACTTTAGTGGGAAAGCTGTTTTAACTTGTTTGGTACAGGCAGATAAGAGCTACAATTGAGAGATGTTTTGTAAAGTATTCTGTAAATCGTAAGTCACAGATTATCACATAAACATGAGATTTTTTTTCAAGTTCATTGCAGTTGTGATTGTATCCCTTTAGAGTCCCCTTAGTGTTTTAAGCATTATCAGAGGACATAAAATTGGGACTATGGTTACAATCTTGAAAGCAAGCTTCAGAACTCTCAATGACCCAGCACTTCCTGTGCGAAATAAACTGTCAGCTGAGTTCTAACATCAAAGTGATGTTGATTGTGTTTTTTGACTTTGATGGAAATTGGGCAAGCTGAGTTTGTAGCCAGGAATCCTATGATGAAGTTCTGAGTATTTTAAAGGCTTATTAGAGCACTTATGAAATATGTAGAAAATTTATACACCTACAATATTTAAACGGCAATGGAATACCTAGCTCTGACAAAACTATTTATATCCCCTAAAAAAAGGGGATATAAATGAAGGACCATTTTGTATCTGTACATACAAAATAGTTAGGATAGATATACAGCTACTTTCTCTTAATTCAATGAGAAGAAAGATTTGTACTAATAGTGTTTGGACAGGATATCATGTCTGCATCTTGTATTATGAATAACTACTACGAAGACAACAAGATGCAATGTATTAAGTATTGTATCTGTCCTACTAATTTGTTTTGAAACTGTCTCATTGCTATTTGTTTCTTAATAAAATTAATTTAAAAAAAGAAATATGTAAAAAATGGCCTGAGAAATGCACAAATGGTCTCATTCCCCATCATGACAATGCTGTGTCACATGCCAGTTCTGGTCCAACACTTTCTGTTAAATTAAATATAATGTATCTTCATCCACCTTATTCACTAGATCTAGCACTGTGCAACTTTTGGCTCTTTTCAAAAGTCAAAATGGTCATGAAAGATAAATATTTTAAATCAATCATGACATCAAGGTAGCCATTATAGTGCAATTAGGAACTCATTAAAGTGATTTCCAAAATTGCTTCAGAAAGGGATAAGAAAAATGGGATGTATGCTTAAAGGAAGCGTATGTATTTTTGACCATACTTACCCCTGGAAAAATTGGAGTGCTTCTCAGTATTTGAAAATGTTAATAATTTATATGGAAATTCAAAGGTATGTTCTGAGTGTCAGGTCAACGAAATAGGAGCTATATGCTTTTCAAGAGAAGGAAATGTTGAAAAAAAAAAGTGACTAAAGCAG